GAGGGCGCGGAGGCGGGGCCGGGGAGGGGTGCGCAGGCCGCGGGCGGGAGGTGCGTGGTGGGGCGGGGTCTGTGGTGGTGAGGGGTCCGGGCGGGGCGTGCGGGGGGCGGGACCTGTGGGGCGCGGCGGACGGGGCCGCGCGCGTTCGCAGCCGCGAGCCCAGCGCTGCACCTCGCGCTGTACCCCGCGCTGTACCCCGCGCTGTACCCCGCGCGTCCCGCCGCATTCCGGTGCCACCGCCCCGGCCCCGCCATGCTCCCGCTGCTCGGGCTGTGCTTGGCCCTGCCGTTCTGCGCGGGGTCGCTGGAAGAGGTGCAGAGCTGGGGGGACACTTCGGAGCAAGTAAGTGGAATTCGGGGGGGCCCAAGGCGGGTCCCGGACGCGGGCTGCCGCCCTTTCCCACCGCCGCCTTCGGGCGCGTGGCTGCCGGACAGGATCCTGGACGCTAGAGAGGGAGGGTTCTCCCCCATCTCCTGTCACATCGTTCCTCCACCTCCTCTCTGTCCCCAGCCTTCTGCTCGGGAACTTCCCCATCTACTGGTCCCTCGAGGAGGGCGTCTGGCTGGCGAAGTTTCTTGCAGAATTGTGTCTGCCACTTCAAAGTCCTGCAGAACCAAATCTCCTTGGCTCCTGTTACCTGTGCGGGTTTCTGCTAGTTTTTTGTTGTTCATTTCTGAGCCAGAGCCCCAAGTTAACTACAGGAGTCTTTAAGACTCATGTGTGGGGTAGTGTGTTGTTGCTGTCGGTTCCTAGTTGTTCCAGAGAGAAAGCACATATAGGAAAAGTTCCAAACTCCTGGAAGCCTCTGCTTTTCCCATCTGAAAACCGGGAGAACACGACTTTCCATCAGGTTCTTATCAATGCTTTAGCAGTTTAAAGGTGGCCAGATGATGGGAAGAGGATCAAGAACCAAAGGGTCTCAGTTACCCTGGATAATATTCTGTGTATCTGCCAGGGTTTTTAAAATGGCTTAACCTCACAGGTGAATGAAACCTGCAAATATGGAATCTCAGTAGAATACCCCATGGATAGGAAAGCTCTTTGAAGAGTATAAAACAGGTTGGAACAGTTTTCAAAGCGCAGACCTTATAGGGAGAAATGGCTCTGTCCTGATTAAAGCAGACAGTGCATTTCTAAAGTAGACAGTGCATTTCTACGTCTCCTGGTGCTGTTTACACACACGTATTTAAATAGTTTAGCTGATAGCATGCTTTCACAGGATGGGAAGAAGAGATAAGCAAGTATACTTTGTGTCCCCTATCCCAGCACCTTGGTTTGAAGAGCAGATCTGGAAAACAGAATCTACCTAAACATCCCGTAGTTACTTTCATGTTGACACTCCCTCAAGGATGTGCTTATCTGTGAAATGGAAGAAATGGTCATTCTCTTGTAGGACTATCAGGAGGAATAACCCATAAAAATTCCAGGAGGCTGTTCGGTGGAGGAGAAACATGCAGGCTTCAGATCCAGAGAGAAAGGCTGGTCTCTCCTTTGCCCTTTACAGCTGTGTGGCCTGGACAAGCTGCTTACCTTCTCTGAGCCTTCCTTTACTGTCCATCACAGCACGGAACACACCTCCTCTTGAGCATACTTGTAAGGGTCCAGCTGCTAGTTTATGTAAAGGACCTGGTATACAGTGGGTGCTCAAGAAATGGTAGCTGTTTTGGTCAGTGGTTAAGGGCATAGACTTGGTGCCTGGGCTCGATTCCTGATTCTGGCACTTACCACCTCTGTGACGCTGAGCAAGGTCCTGCGTGCTTCAATCTCCAATTCTGTGAAAAGTGGGAGAGAACAGGGTGATGAGGATTGGACAGTTAATACACCTAAGGTGCTGGGAACGGTGTCAGCACTTAATGTTGGTGGCTGCTGTTAGGCTTGGGCAGCTGAAATGCTGAGGGTAGGAATTTAGGGTAAAGATCCTAAAACTTCTTTTAGGGGGTGGAGGGAGAAGAATGTGGGAAGCACTGAAACAAAGATTCTGTTTATGAGCTAGGAGGAGGGATTAAAGCTCTGACATCTGCAAGTCCAAGTAGGCTTAACACAACTTCCCTGAATAGAAGACCACAGGTTTAGCCCATTTTAGTGACTTCATGCAGTTGTCAGCTCAAGGCACTATTTATTCATCTGGAAAATAACTAAATCGGAAAAGACTCCAAATATAAAGTTCTGTGAAAATTTGTGATTTTACCTTTTCATACTCTATTAAAAAAAACTGTGTGTGTGTATAAGATGTAGGATTTGAGAGCACAGGCTCCAGAACCAGACTTCCTGGGTTTGAATCCTGGCTCTGCACTTACTGGGGAGTTAATTAACATCTATGAGCCCCTACTTACCCATCTTGAGAATGGGGATGATGAGATTACTTAATTAGAAGGATTTTGAAGATTAAAACAGTTAATATACTTAGAACTTAGAATGGTGTCTGGCAATGCAGTTAGTGCTTTGGTCTCAATAATTATGGTCTTCAAAATTATATGTGAACAATTTTTTAAAATTTTATTTTTTATTGAAGTATAGTTGAATTACAATGTGTTAATTTCTGCTGTACAGCAAAGTGAGTCAGTTATACATATATATATTTACATTCTTTTTCATATTCTTTTCCATTCTGGTTTATCACAGGATATTGAATATACTTCCCTGTGCTATACAGTAGGACCTTGTTATTTATCCTTTCTGTATATAATAGTTGTCATCTGCTAATCCCTAACTCCCAATCCAAACCTCTCCCACCATCCCTCCCCCTTGGCGACCACCAGTCTATTCTCTATGTCCCTGATTCTCTTCTGTTTCATAGATAGGTTCATTTACGTCCAGTTTTAAATTCCACATATAAGTGATATCATATGGTATTTGGTGAACAATGTTTAAATGTCAATGAATATGTAAATTTTAATGTACCTGAACTTGCCTATTAGCTTGTGCTGCAATTCATGTGTTGCAGCTTGCCTATTAGCTTGTTATATACCTTTAATTGAAAATATTACTAATAATATCCTAGATTCAAGTCCCTTCCTCCCTCTCCACCTCATCTGTAAACAGTGTTACCCGTAGTGTAATAAACCCACTATCAGCAGTGGTTTTCAAACTTCATCTTGCAGAAAGACACTCAGGGGGCTCTTTAAACATTCAGATTCCTATGCCCCACCCCCATCAATTTCCATCCACTAGGTTTGGCTGGGACCCAGATGATCCTGATGCAGGTGATGCATGGACCACACTTAGACTAATTCAGCTTTGAAAGAATCTTTCAGGAAATCAATATTAAAAAATAAGACTCTTGTATAAAATCAGCCTGCTTTCAAATTGATATGGTTTCTTTTTTTTTTTTTAATATTTATTTATTTATTTTTGGCTGTGTCGTGTCTTCATTGGGGCTCTCGGGCTTCTCTGTAGTTGTGGCACGCGGGCTCGCAGGCTTAGTTGCCCAGTGGCATGTGGGATCTTGGTTCCCCAACCAGGAATCGAACCCGCGTCCCGTGCATTGGAAGGCGATTCTTAACCGCTGGACCACCAGGGAAGTCCCTCAAACTGACATGGTTTCTTTCACTAAGGATGGAGCTGCATTCCCATTATTACAAAAGCAGTTTTTAATTTACAGAATAATAGTAGGCACCAAGTGTTGAGTGTCAGGGAGAGTTTGCTAGGAGCTCTATGTAGAAATAATAAGAAGCAATAAAGTATATGGTTCAGAGCACCCCAAGTGGAACCAGACTGCCTGGGTTCAAATCTGGATCCCACCACTTACTGGCTGTGTGTGCTTGGGCAAGTAACTCTGGGTCTCCGTTTCCTCACCTGCAAGATGGCGTTGTTAATGGTTCCTACTTCATAGGCAGGGGTGGATCTAAGTTTTGAGAGAGGAGTCAAGTTTATATAATGGGCAAAGCCCTCTTAAAGAAAAATGCTAAATGCTAAAAGTGCTAAAATAAACATTTATTTCGAAGGATAAATAAATCACAGCAAATGACACATTTTGACAAACACTACAAATATCACCGTTTGTTAAGGGACCGTGCAAGTGAAGGATCCTGACGCTTACCTTTTATTAGCTTCTAAACAATAATAAACTATTAAATAAAAAGTAACAAACCCACTTCTGCTCCTGTTTGTTGTGAGGATAAAATGAGTTGATTCAGGCAGAGCACTTACGTATAGTAAGCACTCAGGTCCTATTAGCTATTTTGGTTATTTATGCACAACCTGGTTGAATCTCTGCCACTGCAAGAAAGGCCTCAGCGAGCTTATGCTCCAGGAGAACTATGGAAGTCCACCCAGGGGAAGTGATGCACGCAAGTGATATTTCAGAGCCTAGATTAGAAGCCAGGAGTGCTGAATGCCAAGCCGGGCTCTCAGTGACGCCTCCAAAGACCGCCACTTTCATATTTACAATGTAATGTAATTTGTTTAAATACGATTTTAATTTGTAGCTCCTGGCACATAGATTGTGTTCAGCATAGGCTTCTGGTACCACACGCACAGTGGTGATACATTTCTAATTCCCTGAATCGAGCATTTCTGCGGTTTTAAGTTTTATAGTCTCTCACTCAGAACCTTTGCATTTGGGAAAACAAAGAAAATCAAGACCAGTTTTGTTTTTTTCTTAACGCTTTGAAAAGTAAAGTCACGGAAAGATTCTGTGAGCTCCAGACCACTCGATAATGTCTGCTTTCTGTGCACGGGTGTGATCGTTGCAATGGAGTCCTAAGGCTGGATGGGGAAGATGGGTATTAACGGGAGAGATTCCAGAGATTTACTCACTCCCGAGCCAGAGCCAGCCATATCTGGTTTCTTTGAGGGGGAGGTGGGGCGAAGGATGGGGGAGTCCTGCGAGCTGGGCGATGAGTTGTATGTGACTTCGTGTTCCTAACTAACGCTCTCCTAAAGTCCTGGATGCGCTAACATAAGGCAGCCGTGCCCACGGTGCTGTCAGAGGTCCAGCTGGAGGTCCTGTAAGCTTTCTGTATCTAAGGAGCAGAGGGTCCGTTTAGGAAAATGGGGCCATAGGATGGAGACCTGAGCTTTCTTTGTGGGGTTGGGGGGTGGTCCCACCCTCCTCATTATCTTCCCACAAGCCAGATCCATTTCCCTTGTTTCTCACAGGTTAGAAGAAACAAGGTGACTTGCCTAAGGATAGTTGGTTTGGGTTTTGTTTTTGTTTTTCCAGCTGCCTGGAAAATTGTTTGGAATTTTGGCCCCCAAAAGAAGTTTCTTCTTCCATTGCTGAGATTATGGGCCCCCCAAATGGCAAGAGGTTCATAGCAGGACAACCTGCAGCAACATTCCTCCAAAGGAAGAGAACTTCTGAGAATTACCCAGATGGGATCCTCCCAGACTAACTGTCCTCGGTCCAGGTGATAGGTGGCAGCTCCCGTGCTTTCCAGCCTGTAGCCCTGGGTTTGGTATCAGGTCCTGTATCAGATCTCTGAGGCAGCAGACTCCTGAGTTCCTGGCTCTTGGTTTCGGGTTTTCAGAATGCCCTCAGAAGATGGAGCCCAGCAGGTAGATACATTTCTGGCACAGAGCCCGCCAGGAACTCATGTCTTCAGCCTTTTGCTGGTGTGTGGCTGAGGCTGGCCTAAGTACAGCCTGAGGGCATGAACCCTGCCTTTCTGTCCCTCTTTCAGTGCACCCGGGTCATTAAAGCGTCCATCCCTAACGGGCATGTGTTTGTTCTGCGTATTCACAATATCCCTCACCCTGGGTGGAATTAGGGTTCACTCCTCTGCTCCTTTCCTGTGCTCTTTCCCATCTGTGGATTTTCTGGAATGCTTTCACGGTGCTTCTCTTCCCTCCCAATCCTGTTCCAACACTGTGATCCATCCTGGCGGGAAAATACCATCTCTGTTATCCAAATCATGAACGTTAAGCAGTGCCTGCTGTTTTCTACCTCTGGTTGGACTGTCCGATGATGGAGTAGATGGAGATTCCAGTCCCCCAGCTCTGATGGTGTTCCTGCTACGTTCTTTGTGCAAAGGCAGTCTTCAGCCACCCTTGCACATCCTGGTAGGGAATGCTGCTTGGTCCACGTGAGTTAAAGACGCAGATTCTGAGCTTTTTCTCAGCCTGGTTCCTGTACTGAACTGGATGCTCTTTTAAATTTCCCTTCCCCTTTCATTCCACTCCAACAAACCTCCTACACAGCTACTTCTAACCATCCCTCCATCGTAAAGCCTCTCAGGGTCATCTGAGAACATAGTGAACTCTTCTTTTTTCCATTTCCTTTGTAAAAATTACCTCGTCTACTAAGTCTTCCTGAGTGTATTTCTTTCAAGTTAGGTAGTATGGTCCTTGATGGCAAAGGTCATGGCTGGTATTTCACAGTAAGCACTGTGGTCTGGACATCTGTTCTGATGCTGGAGAAGCAAGCTCAGCTCAGTAGGAGCAAAAATCCTATTTGAGCCATCTCTTAAGTCTATTATCTGGCGGTCCATGTTCTGCGATTACTATTCATGGCAGCCCTTGACATTAAGCTGGGGTCGGTTACTTACCTGTCCTTAACCCAGGTTCTTACAAGGCAAGGGGAAAACTCTCAAACAATAAAAGGGATCAGGAATTCCTAACTAAAAACAATGAAGATGACATTTCTGTCATTTCCACTTCTAATCCTAGCTGGCACCAGGAAGTTTTGATTCTGGTTCAGTCTGAGTCTAAATTTGGACTGAAGTGTAGCCATCGTGATCCCCTGAGAGGTCAGTCATCTCAAAAATGAGAAACCAACCTCTCTTGTTCTACTTAATGCTTGTTTATTTTCTTGGAAAACCTATTTTACAAAGGAGGAGACTTCAAAGAAATACTTTAGATCAACCAGAGAACATAATACCTGCGCAGGCCTGAGCTTCCCTTCTGACCATGGCTACGGTCCCAGTCATCCCATGTCATTTTAGAAATAGAAACCAGTGTCCTCCTAGTCATTGTTTGGTTCTCATATGGAGCCAGGGCCGATGTCAACCTAAACCCTGTACTAATTCTTTCTATTCCATGTTCTGTAGAATAGGAGACTCTATAATGGCTTATAATGGTAATTTACAGTAGCATTATCTATTTTCAGGAGGGATCAGGGAAAGGATTTTCTGTTATACTTTTAGTTTACAAAATGGAAATATCTTTATGGGTTTTTTTTTTCCTATTTGGAAATGATACACAGTAATTTGTCCAAAACTGAGGTAGTACAAAAAAGTTTAAAGAAGAATTTATATGTCTATAAAATGTAACATCTGCAGCAGTTAAAAAGAATGAAGTCCTGACAGGAAAATGGCAAAAATTGCTAAATACAAGAAGCAAATTTTGTATAATACTCAAAATGTTTAATAAATGTTCATGTGTGGGAAAAAGCATGCTGCAAAAAAAAAAAAAAAAAAAAAAAAAAAATTTAAATCGC